ATAAACAGCAACTGGGCCAGCAAGGAGGAAGGCAGGGTGGCCCTCAGTGGCTCCCTGTGCCCGTCTCAGCCTCTCGCCGTGCAACTCAGCCATCAGTGGCCAGGATGACAGCAGCCCCAAAGATGCCCACACTCTCTCCGAGGAGCTTCATTTGGTTCCAGAACTCAACACGCCGCGTGTTGTGCCAATAAGCAACATTGCCATCAATAAGCAGCATGACTGGGGGCAGTAGTACAGCCAGGATCTGGGCAGCCAGGGTCACGTAGTAGCCTGACAGGAAGGCCAGGGCCAGGACACCATACAGCACGAAGAATAGCTGGATCATCAGCTCCCCTCCTGGGAGATGGTTCAGATACGCCAGCCGGTCCTCCTTGCTGTGCTGCAGCGAGTAGGCCTGGAGACATACCATCCTCTAAGACTCACCAAAAAGGCTGAGAAGGCTGTCTAGGAAAGGCCACCCATGAGACCCTGAGATGGCACCTGTAAGTCAGCACCTGTAAGGTAGGCTTCTGACACCCTACTCAGATGGGGACTTTAAAGACAAAGGAAAGCCTCTGTCTCCTCCTCAGACTGTGGAAGCCCAGGAGGTTACGGACTATGTCTCCCCTCACCCTAGGGGCTATGAAGGGAAGAAGTGTGTTTCCACAGTCAGACTGGAGCTCCCACCTCCAAATAAACCATGAAAGCCTACACAGCTTGGCAAAGAGATATAATACCCAGTAACTAAGAAAAGGCCCAGTGGCCTGGGCCCTCCCCTAGCACCAGGGAATACCATAATTGGCTACCCTAGGAAGCCCCATCAGCCCTAGGGGGCAGAGTCCCAGTTGGGGCCACCAAACCACTTCTTTGTCCCCTCTCCCAGCCCTCTGGGGGCTGGAGCCATGAGAGAATCACTCCATTTTATGCTCTTGGTTCATAGGGTTGGGATTGAATGATCAATCCAATTTCTTCTCTACCTGGTGGCAATAATGTTTGAAGAAGGAGCTCTCAACCAGGTCTCAGGTATTTAGAAGGCCCCTGAGGCCTGGAAGCTGGCCAGGCAATTCCCAGGGCCCAAGCCTTCAGGAACTGCATGCAAAGCCTTGTTCTTCTAGGCCTGGGTTCACATCTCACTCCCAGCCAGGCACCTCCAACCAATAGACCCCCAACCTACCACACAGATGAGGTAGATGCCCAGGAACACCTGGCCGGTGGACTGTAGGGAGCGGCTGCGGGGTTTCCGACGATACAGCTCCCCAGCACCGCTGGCAAGCACGAGAAAGCCACCAATGATGGCAACTGTGCGAGAGTACATACGGACCTAGGCCGGGCAAAGGGACCCCCCGTCAGGAACTACAGCCACCACTTTTCTCCTGGCTGCCCAGAGTGCAGAACTGCCCTTTTCTATACATCTCTTTCCATCTGATGAACCCTCTTACCATTTCCAAGCTTGGTGGGGAGCTACAGCAGAGATAGATAATTTTTTTTTTTTTTTCAGTTTTTGGCCAGGGCTGGGTTTGAACCCGCCACCTCCGGCATATGAGACCAGCACCCTACTCCTCTGAGCCACAGGCGCTGCCCAAGATAGAGAATTCTTTTATACAGAAGTGGAAACTGAGATCCAGGGGAATTGAGAAAATTGTCCAAGATCTTACAGAAAGTTAAGTGTCAGAACCCAAACATGATGCATTTACCCTCCCCCTAACCCCAGGTCTGCAGACTCTCATCCTGGTGTTTTTTCTCTGTATCAGTTGTTCTCAACCTGTGGGTCGCAACCCACAGGAATTGTATTAAAGGGCTGCGACATTAGGAAGGTTGATAACCACTGCTCTGTATGGTACAGGGTGTATTCCATTAAAACAAAACAACACAAAATGAAAACAAAACAAAAAACAGGGTCAGGAACAGTGGCTCAAGCCTGTAACCCCAGCACTTTGGGAAGCCAAGGCAGGAAGATTGCTTGAGGCCAGGAGTTTGAGACTGGCTTGGGCAATATAGTGAGATCCTGTTTATAAAAAAAAAAATTAAAAATGTATTAGCCAGACATGGCAGGGCATGCCTGTAGTCCTAGCTACTTGGAAGGCTGAGGCAGTAGGATCACTTAAGCCCAGGAATTTGAGGTTGGAGTGAATTATAATCTCACCACTTCACTCCACCCTGGTTGACAGAGGGGGACCATGTCTCAAAAACAAATAGCCACTGATCTCACTGCCTCCTAGTTGCTCACACATCTCCCTCCCCTACTGGACTGTCGGTCTCTTCCTTGAGGGTAGTGCCTTTGTCCAACCTCATCTGCAAGCCTGCAGCACCTGACACAGGTTCTGGCAGTTACAGGCTTAAATGCTATGCTAAGATTAATTACATGAACCTTCCAAGATCCCTTTTGCCCTATGAATCTGAAATTACTAAATTAATGGTTTAAAGATTCTGGGAACGAGGCCAGGCGAGCTCAAGCCTGTAATCCTGGCACTCTGGGAGGGCCAAGCAGGGTGGATTGCCTGAGCTAACGGGTTCGCGACCAGCCTGAGCCAGAGCGAGACCTTGCCTCTAAAAATAGCCAGTGTTGTGGCAGACGCCTGTAGTCCCAGCTACTTGGGAGGCTGAGGCAAAAGAATCGCTTAAGCCGAAGAGTTTAAGGTTGCTGGGGGCTGGGACAACACGGCACTCGGCACTCCACCGAGGGCAACAAAGTGAGACTGTCTCCAAAAAAGATTCTGAGAACCAGGTGACTTTTGGTTCCACCAGTATGCTAGGTAACTCTCGTGTGACTTTGGGAAAATGTTTCCCATCTCCGGACCTCAGTTTCCACATTCTAGAAGCGAGGTTTGCTGTCGTCTCTAAGATCCTTCCATTTCTGCGATCTGTAATCTCTACAAACCTAGAGAGGTTCGGCCCTTCCCGGGTTCACACAGTTATCCACAGTACAGTGCATCGCCCACCAACTGCCCTGAGCTTTGGCCGCTGACTCCCCATCACCCACAGTGAAGCCCCTTCTAGGGCGGAGGCGCTCACCTTCAGCCAGTCCCCGTAGTGGACGTAGCCCCCGATGTAGGCGGCATAGGTGCTAATGGCCAGTTGGAGTGCAGCCCCCAGCGCGAACCAGCGCCGCTTCACTCCAAAGGACATGAAGCTAGCACACAGCACGGCCGCCCCCATGTCGAAATACAGATAAGGCACTGGGATGTCGGGCTTCCTGCGAGCCAAGAGTGGGGAGGCAACGAGGACAGAATGAAGGGAGAAGAAGAACCCCTGAGTTCCCACAAGCTCAACTGCTCCCCCGAACCAGAGCCCCGTCTCATGGCTAGGAACTGCCCCACCAGATCTGGCCCGGGCCTTCGAGGCCCCAATTCCTCCCAGTCCAAAGGCCCCAACTTCTGGCTCCCAACTTCTTCCCTACATCACCGCACCCACGTTCCTGGGACGAGCCGTACCGCCCCCAACCGCGTTCAGCGGCTACGTGAGCCTCCTCACCGGCGCGCCTCAGCCCTCTCAGCATACAGCATGAGTTGGCTGAAGCAGCCCCAAAAGGGACATCGTGTGAGCAGCACCGAACCCAACTGCATGAGCAGCTGCAGCATCCACCGTCTCCAACCTATTTTAGACGCCATTTTGGGAGAGGGCAGTCCTCTGCGGCTTCACTCCCTTAGAGAGGCCGGCGCGAAATGGGCACGAAACTTCCGGGTGTCTCGCCTTTTCTTTTCCCCTACCGCCGGGAAACAACGTTGTCTCATTCTAGTTCCAACACGATGGAAGTGTTACTGCTGCGAATTTCAGTCTCCCCCCCTGCCCATGGAGACTTCTGGCCTTTTCATTGTACCTGCAAAATTGAAAACTAGACTAGAGAAAAGAACAGTGGGGTCAGGACATTAGAAATCTTGGCGTGTATAGCTTGATGTATTGAAGCCAACTGGTCTTGATGCAGCCAGACCTAGGCTCTAATCCCAACTCCCACCCTGGACTCATCACCTTAACTTTATTTATTTTGAGACAGGGCCTCAAGCTATCCCCCTGGGTAGAGTGCTGTGGCATCAAAGCTCACAGCAACTCCAACTCCTGGACTCAAGCGAGTCTCCTGCCTCAGCTCCCAAGTAGCTGGGACCACAAGTGCCCGCCACAACGCCCGGCTATTTTTTGGTTGCAGCTGTCATTGTTTGGCGGGCCTGGGCTGGATGGAACCCACCACCTTAGGTGTATGTGGCGGGCGCGTTAGCCACTTGAGCCACAGGCGCCAAGCCATCACCTTAACTTTAAAAGACTCATCATGAAATGGAGTTAATGATATCTATCTCAGAACTGTTTGAAGTTTAAATGTGGCAAATTTGATCCTAGCACATAGTAGGGGTTCAATAAATGGTACACACACACGCACCAGAGGAAATTTCCCTGTTTCTATTAAGTTCAAATAAAGGGGGTCCTTCTGGCTCAGTCACCTGGTTGATCTTGGTCCATCCCCTAAGGAAAGAGGGAGATCTAATGTGGACATTTGGGACCTCTCAAATCAGTCTATTTTCACCAGCTCCCATGCTCTCACACTAGCCCAAGTTACCATTTTTTGTCAGTTTTAACTGCAGCAGCCTTTCAACTGGTCTCCCCTACTCACCTTTGGATTCTTCTAGTTTGTACTCAGCTCATAACATAACCACCCTTCTTTTGAATCACTTAGCAAAGTGGCAATGATATATTTGTGATTTATTTATTTTTGAGACATTCTCTGTCACCTGGGTAAAGTGCACTGGCGTCATTATAGCTCACAGCAACCTCAAACTTCTGGACTCAAGCGATTCTCCTGCCTCAGCCTCCTAAGTAGCTGAGACTAAGGGTAGGAGCCACTGCATATGGCTAATTTTTCTATTTTTAGTAGAGACAAGGTCTTGCTCTTACTAAGACTGGTCTCAAATTCTTGACCTCAAGCACTCCTCCTGCCTCAGCTTCTAAAAGTGCTGGGATTATAAGCGTGAGCCGCTGTATCCGACCTGTGTTTCTTTTTTTTTTTTTTTATCTGACCCGCGATTCTTTTATTAATGACAAACTTCCCCCACTAGACTGTGAGCTCCATGAGAACAAATAGAGTGATTTCTGTTTACTATTTATGGATGTTCCTTGACTTATAATGGGGTTACATCTCCATGTAAACATATATTAAGTTAAAAATCCATGGCTTTACTAGAAATGGTTTCTAGTGAATGCAAATCACGCTCACACCATCATATATTTGAAAAATCCTAAATTGGCCAGGAGTGGTAGCTCACACCTGTAATTCTAGCACTCTAGTAGGCCAAGGCAGGTGGATTACTTGAGCTCAGGAGTTGAGAGAGACTGAACAAGATACCCCATCTCTACTAAAAATAGAAAAATACCCAGGCATTGCAGTGGTTGTTCTCAGTACCAGTGACTTGGGAGGCAGAGGCAAGTTTGAGATTGCTGTGAGCTAGGCTAAGGCCATGGCACTGCAGCCAGGGTAACAGAGTGAGAATCTGTCTTAAAAAAAAAAAAAAAAAGAAGAAGAAGAAGAAGAAGAAGAAGAAGAAGAAAAGGGAAAGGGAGGGGAGAAAAGAAATGAAATGAAGAAAAATCTTAACCATCCTAAATCAAGTACCATCTGTACATCCCTCAGGGCCTAGTATACAGGATACACTCAGGAAATAAGTGCTGCACAGATAAATGAACCACAGGTGTCATCACTATGTCTAGTTCATAGTAAGGTGTTCGTAGATATCTACTAAAAAATGGGGAAACTTCTAGGCAGTTTGGGGTTGTCACCAGAGATGCCACCACCTATCATACTGTACACATAAATCCATTAACACATGGATTCACCCTCCAATGTTGAAGTTAAGACCATGCAAACACCCTTAATAGGTCATTTAATTCATTAAGTCTACTTCCAATTCTGTGGGGAGGGGAGGAGCTCATGTCCAAATGATTTCTGACCATGTGAATTAAAAATTAACAGTCAGCCACTAGAAGGTGGCCAACAAAATACCTTTCCACACTTCATTTTTAACAAAGTCATTAGGATATAGCTAGGTACATCAGAAAAAATGTGAGAGGATATACTGATACAAAGAACTAGGGAACGGGATTGTGTGTGTGCTGGGGGATGGGGAGATCTGTAGGCAAAGATAAAGTCTGGGTTAAAAGTCATTTTGACTACCTCCAACCACGAGCAACAACCACACAGAGCGAGTTTTCTTTATAATACAGGCAAAAAGTACAGAATCATCTTTCTGACTGGTTTCATTTTTCAAGTCTCCTCACCCATCTGATTTAATGCACAGACCTAAAGAGTTGGACCGAACTGGGACTATGTATAGTCCATAAAATAGCCCTAGCAGTCTGCCTGGGCTGTCCCCACAGGTGCAATGCTCCCACCTTAGCAACCAGTTTCTAGTCAAATCTCCATCAGCAGAGGCCAGAGATAAATATGAGGAGGATGGAGATTAGAATGAAGGAAGCTTTCCTTGGTGCCCACAGCACTCCAGTTCCTCTGGACTTAAGTCCCTCTCTTTTACTACTCTCTTTGCCAGAGGGGTAATGAGAAGGGAAGGATTAGGGGTCTAATTCTAGTTTCTAGGGTGGGGCAGATGCCAGCATTCTGCTAGGTCAGGGGAAGGGAGACAGGTGGACACCCCAGGATCTGAGAAACGAACACAGCCGTATGTTCCTGCCTGCCTCTATTTTTCCCACCCCTTCCAGGCCAGAACCTAACCCCAAGACCTCTAAGGAAATTCCCTTTTCCTCCTAATTCTCTCTGCTCTTCTTCAGCACCTTGACTTCCCTCTGCAACATCCCTCACCTCTCCAGGAATGTTCCCATCCTGTCCAAGGCCCTGCCTGTGTTTATGCTCAGCCATAATCACAACCACAGAGAGCAGCATGGTGCTTGAGATGCCAAGGAGAGTGACCATCTGGGCCAGCACTTCAAGTTGCCTGGGTTGGCCACATGCAATCCAGCTTCCTGAAGACTCCCGGCAGGTCAGTTGTACATCCAGGGGTTTTTGGCCAGTGGCAGCTGTAAACCTGCTGTCCAGATGGCAGCCACTGCCTTGAACTTGAGGTGATGCAGTCAGTTGTCCATGAGATAATCCCAGCACCCACAAAGCTGTAAATGCCTCAATCTCCAGCTCATTTTTATTCCCAGCCAGGAAGACAATTTCCAAGCCTGGCAGGGTAACCAAGATAGTGCCCTCCACCCACTGCAGCTGGTTCCCAGCCAGGATAGGCAGAAAAGGCCACCAAACCCTGCTGTGGCCAGCTCAGCCAGCTAGTTATGGCTCAGATCGAGCTGCTTAAGGCTCCTCAGACCCCATTGGGTACTGGGGTCCAGAGTGGTGAGTAGGTTGTGAGACAGGTCGAGGCCAAGCAAAGAGCCCAGGGTGGCTGAGAAGTCTGGGACAGGAGGGCCAGTTAGGAGTGAGGACCAGCCGCTTCAGGCAATTCAGGTGCCCTAGCTACATCTGGCAGGACATTGTGAGGAAGCAGCAGATCCTGTCTCCAGAGGCCTCAGAAGGCACCAGCTAGCAGGTGTCTGAGATTGCTGTGGTTCCAGCTCCAGGAGCCAGGCTCTATCAGGGAACTTGGGAGGAAGGCTGAGCAGGCGGAGGCCCCCACAGCCCACCACACTGACTGTGCTTGGGCAGGTGCGTGGTGCTGGACACACTGCATTGCTATAGTGTCGGAAAGTGGCCACACCCACCCCATGCTTGCCCAGGAGAGGAAGGGGAGAGGATAGTATCCAGCACTCATGTATACTAAGACCTTCATGCCTCACTCTTCCACCTGAGACCCTTGGCAACCATGGTGACACTAAGAGAGAAAAATATAAGTAGATACCATTCAGGAGTCTCACCATTTGCTGGACTCCCAGTATGGTCTCAAGGATACAATCCCTTCATCCCCCACAATTTTACCTGTTACTGAAGCTTCTGGCAAGAGCTTTCTCAGGCCCCAGCATTCTGATCGCCTGCCCCTAACCATCCCTCACACCCTTACCCCTAAGATGAAAAGCAATTAGGGAAGATGGCCTTTAATCCCAGGCACCCCTTCCTTATTCCCTCCCACCCACACCCCACCTCACTGACTTTTCACAGGGCCCAGTAAAAACTCTGCCTTCCCCATCCCCTAAACATTCACTCAGTCACTCTCATACAGCCAGCATTTCCAGAATTACCATTCTGTAAAAGGTCTGCACAGAAGTCCGATGCACTCACCTATGTTCCTGGCAATACCTGCTGAGTGCAGCCCCTGCCCAGGAATGGCAATGGAAAGAATCTCAGGGCTCGGCGCCTGTGGCTCAAGTGGTTAAGGCGCCAGCCACATACACCTAAGGAGGCGGGTTCGAATCCAGCCTGGGCCCGCCAAACAACGACGGCTGCAACCAAAAAATAGCCAGGCATTGTGGCAGGCGCCTGTGGTCCCAGCTACTTGG